TAGAAGACATGGCTGTGGAGGCAGGTGGGGCCAGACCCTGCAGGTCTTAGAGGCCATGGTATGGAGTTCGGGTTTTATTCCAAGAGCAGTGAGAAACCCAGGCAGAATGTTAAGTAACAGGGCTGCCTATCGGCTGCCGTGTGGAGAAGAGTTCGTAGAGAGGCCCAGTTCATGGCAAGGAACTCAGAGAGAAACTAGAGCATCCCCAGGCAAGAAGTGATGGTGACCTGGACCAGAGGAAAGGGACAGAAGTAATGAGAAGTTGCCAGATCCCAGGTATATTTTGTAAGCAGAGCCAGTGTGATTCACAGATGAGTTGAAGGTGAAGGTGAGAGATGGAGGGAAGGCAGAGGCGGCTCCCAGGCCTTGGGCCTGGGCACCTGGGCAGACAGCGGGGCCCTGTGCTGGGAGGCAGCTGCTGGGTCTGAGAACAGCAACTGGATCTGCAGTTGGCTGTGGGTCATACACATTTGTTGTGTGGAACTGTTGAGGGCCCTCAGGGACAGCTTGCAGGCCATGGCTCCTACAGGTGGCTCTTGCCCTCCAACCATCTTTAAAAGGATCTGACTCCAAAGCCCACTGTTTGTCAGCCTAAGGTCCTGATGTCCAGATTTCCTTACCCTTGAAGGGCCTCTGCTCTCTCCTTGTGTAGCGCCAACGTCACCAACATTCAGCTGGACTATGGTGGGATCCGGATGTCTTTCCACAAGGAGTGGTTCTCGGCCAACATCTCACTTGAATTTGACATTGACTTGAGACTGTGAGTCATACCTCAGCAGGGGCAGTGGGGCGCTGTTCCTCCCCAGCAGGAATCTGGGAGCTGGTGGGGGAAGGGTGGAATTTGGCAACCTAAGGAACCCAGATCTTTCTGACTCCAACCTGGTTCAAATCCTGGTTTCTGAACTCACTTGCTGTGTGACCTGGGGCAAGTCACCTCACACCTCTGAGCCTTGGTTTCTTCAGCTGAAATGTGGATGGCAATTCCTGGTCAGTGGAGGCAGGTCATTTGCTCATTTAAACCTATGTGAGTTCATGACACTGATTCGAAAGAAAAGAGAGAAACATTTTATTTCTATCATCACCCCTCCCTCCGTCTGTCAGACTATCCTTTAACATCAGCTGCCCCCAAGAAAAGGGAGGCCACAGCTAAACGGTAAAGGTTTTTTTTTAATAAGACTAACTCTCAACTTCTGAATTTCCAAAGGCCCCTAAGCCAGTCGAGTTAAAGAATTTTCAGAAGCCACTCTGTCTGACAGCATTTTCTCCTTTGTCGCCGGCCACAGGAGTAGTTGTTGAAAAAGTTGTTGAAAGGGTCACTCTTCTCTTGGTGTTGGCTGTTCCACCTCCTCCTCCATCCCTGGCCCTTTCTCTTCTCCTCCTCTCTCTTGTCCCCAGGTCCTTCAATAACAAGATCATAAAGATACACGTATGCATGAACCTCATTATGGAGTTCTGTCTGGAGAAAGACGAATTTGGCCGGAGGGATCTGGTGATAGGCAGTTGCGGTGTGGAGCAAAGCAGCATCTACACAACAGTTCTAACTGAGTAAGGTCCCAGCTGCCCTCCCCAAGGCTGGGCCCCTTCCCAACCCCCCCTAGGTGCGACCACATGTCTCCAACACCTCCTGGGTGAGCCCAAAATAGATCTCACCATTTCCCTAGGATCGACCTCTCTTCCTGAGCCAGCATCCCAGTGATGGCGCGGCCACCCTCCAGGAGGGACCTTTCCTCTTTCCCCACACCCCGCAGCCCATCCTCCCTGGCTCCCATCAATGACCTTCTGGCAGCCCCTGCTTGCTCCCTCTCTCTCCATCCCTCAGCCACTGCTCCCGCTCATAGACCACTTCCTGGACCCCTGCAGGAGCCACTCTGACACTCCCTGACTCAGACCTCACCTCCTTCACTGCATTCTGCCCCTGCAGCAGAAATAACTTTCTAGCACAGAAATGTGCCCCTGCTCCAAACCCTCCAGGTGTTCTCCAAAGCCCTCTGAATGAAGAGCAGACCCCTAGATGTCAGTCAGGGCCCTCCTCGTGCTCTCGTCTGCCCCACTCTGCAGCCCTTTGCCCTCTCGTGTCAATGAAGGCCCCACCTCTCCATCAACATGCTATATATTTGCATACCACCCTGCCTTTGCACATGCTGATCCTTTCACCTGGAATGCCCTTCCCTTCTCTCAAGCACTCCTCCTCATCACTTATTCATTCAACAAATATTTACTGAGAACTTACTAGGTGCCAGACATGGCATACTTGATGTTAGCCATACAGTAGGGAACCAGACAGAGAAAAAAAAATAGAGCTATTTATATGGTGCATCTATTAATAGAGTGTATAATAGACCTATATATACTGGCTGACCAACTCTGTCAACCTCAGCAGACTATGAGTCCCTTGAGGGCAATATGTGGGTGTGACTTCTCTCTGTAATTCCAGAATGCTGAAAGCAACCAGGTCGTCAGCAGGTGTTCATTCATTTATTCATCAGACATTCATTGAATGCCTAAATCATGCAGGGCATTCATGGCTAGGACAGTGCAGGGGAAGGACTGAACTCTGGTGCTCTCCTGACCTGGTTCTAATCCAGTCAGCACCAACTAGCTGTGTGACCTTGGGCAAGTCACATCACCTCTCTGTGTTGCCCCCTCAACTACTGCTAACAGTGATGCTTCTTGTAGAGGGCTGGCCGATGATTAAATGTCTGTGTAGGGTGTACTCAAGCAGTCAGTCCCAGCACTGGGACTGCAGAGATTTCTCTGTTCTGTTCTACACATCTACCTCTCTTTCCAGAGATATCTCACCAAAGATGAAACATTTTCTCCGCCACTTCAGGGAGAACCTGGTAAAAGTGACCCCGCACCTGGTAGAAAGTCAGGTAAGTTTGAGAAAAATATTTTCCCCCTGGGTATCTTTGAGTCTGAGGGTCAGGATGTATATATTGGCAATTCAGAAAAGAGTTTCAAATCTTGGGCTTCAGAACCTGAAAAATCTCAGTTTTGTCATCTGCTGGCTGTGTATCCTTGGCAAGTGACTTAGCCTCCCCACACCTCAGTTTCCCCATCTGTAGCATGGGAACCATCACAGTCCCCATCTCATGGAGTCATCATGAGGATTCAGACACACTTCTAAGTGCTGTGCGTGGCCTCCAGTTGGCGCTCAGCACAAGGGAGCTGCCCTTGCTGCCATGATTCCTTGTGGAAATCCAGTGGAGTCTAAGGCTCCAGCCACAGGCTCTCTAGCTTTCTTCTCCTAGCCCCCAGCCTGACCCTTGTCTCTATGCTGGTGGCCCAGGTGTGTCCTCTGATCAGCGAAATCCTCAGACAGTTGGACGTGAAACTGTTAAAAAGCCTCATGGGTGAGTGTCTGTGTCTGTCCAGGGAGGAGGACTCAGGGTGGGCAAGTAGAGAGGCGCCCAGGGGGGAGCTCCCAGGGAGGCCTGCTGGGGGGTGTCTGCATGTGCCCTGAGGACACTTAGAGGTGACCATATGATAATGACCGTTACGGTCTCCCGAGAGAGCTAGGACAGCAGAGGGCACCCCTACCAAGAAGACTGGGCCCTGCCAAGTCACCAGAATCTCCAGACCACCAGAAACTGTAACTCCTCCCAAGATCTCCACTCAGTCCTTCAGGGACCGCTGGCCCCACCCCAAACCTGAGACCACCCTCCATATGTAGACAGACAGACACAGTCCCCGGGAAGCCAACAAGAAGCGCCTAACTACGTACCATTTGGAAAGAGTTTTAACGCAAATGCCTCAGGCACTGGCCCTTGGTCGGCTTGGATGGATGGGAGTCCCATTCGGGGGTTGAACAGGCAGTCACCCTGGTGATTGATCTTGTCTCTTCTCCTTACAGAACAGGCTGTTGCTCATAAATTCAACCAACTGTGAGTCCAGCCAAGCTTCCATGTGCCAAACTTGGAGAGTCCTCCAGCTACCTACTGATAATCAGGAGATTCCACATGTTGAGATCTTAAGCCTCCCTCAGAGTGGGGCTTCCACGGCCCCAAAATCCTTTACCACAGGCCCTGCAGAGTCCTGTCCTGTCCCTAATAAACTCTAGCTCTGAAGGGTACAGAGGTTCCCCTTCCTGGGTCCTGAGGTTAGAGTTCCACAAGTCAGACTTGATGAAGGTCCATCCTGAGACTAAATATGCCTGGGTTTGCTCATGAGCCCAGAAATAGCAGAGAAATCACTTTCTTTTCCTGTAATTTGCAGCCAAAAGCCCATCTGGAGATTTACTTATCAATGCAGGGAGGGCCCTGTTGAGATTTCCCATTCCATCACTCACTCGAGCCATATTTGTTGAGTGCCTACTATGTGCCAAGGACTTTGCCAGGCTCCAACGGAGTGGAGAGAAAGGCTGACACAGTGGAAAATCATAAACGTCGGCACCGAACGGATCTGAGTTCAAATCCAATTCAGCCAAATGAGAAGTTCCACGTGGGTATGAACCATGTGCATCAGAGTGACGGATGCCTCCTTCCCCACTGGCCACCAGCGTAGGGCTGGCACAGAGTGTGAGCCCAGCAAATATATGTGGTTAAGTGGTGGATGAATCTGGTTTCAGGACCCACTCGCTGTGTTTGGGACAAGGCACTTTACCTTCAGGCCTCCCTCACCTGCAAAGTAGGGATAGAAGTCTTACAGGATGTGGGGCAACAGGAACCTGGGCACTGCCTGGTGGGAGGTAAATTGCACCACCTCGTTATAAACCCGGGTGGCGGTTGCTACAGAAGTGCAACATAGACCCGCCCTGTGCCAGAAACACACGTGTGTGGACGCCACAAGACGTGCACGAGACTGCTTATAGCAGCAATGGTCATAATAGTCCCTGAGGAAAAGCCCTGAATGCCCATCAAAAGAGTGGGTAAATATCGTGGGATAGTGTCCCAGTGGAATGCTCTACAGTAATGAAAATGACCTACAACTACGCACGATCACATGGGTGGATCTTGTGCACATAACAAAGCCAGGCACCAAAGAGCACATGTTACGTCTCCCATTTATATGAAGTTCAAAAACAGCAAAACGAACCCATGCTGTCAGAGATCAAGATAGTGGTTACCCGTGAGGGGAGTGTTAGTGACTGGGAGGGGCTCAAGGGGGGCTTCTGGAGCCCTGGTAATGTCTGTTTCTTGATCTGGATGCTACTTATCGGGAGGCTGTTTAGTTTGTGAAAATTCACTGAGCTATTCACTTATGTGCGCTTTTCTTATGTATGTTAGACTTTAACAAACATTTTTAAAATAGAAAATATTTACCATGCAGGACATTTATGGGAGCATGTGAAAAAGCATTTGCAATATGTTTAGCATGTGCTAGGTCCATGGGAAATGCTTATTAAAAGTCATTTAGCTCATGGGGTTCCTGGATGGCTCAGTTGGTTGAGCGTCCAACTTTGGCTCAGGTCATGATCTCACAGTTCCTGAGTTTGAGCCCCGAGTTGGGATCTGTGCTGACAGCTCAGAGCCTGGAGCCTGCTTCAGATTCTGTGTCTCCCTCTCTCTCTCTCTCTGCCCCTACCCCACGTATGCTGTCTCTCTCTCTCTCTCTCTCTCTCTCAAAAATCAACATTAAAACTTTTAAAAACAAGTCATTTATCTCATTAATTATTTGATTAATGACTATTCATTTCTGAAATATTGATTCCCGCCCTCCTCCCAAGGGGAAGGAAAGAAATCAAGGGGAAATAACACACACATATTAATAATAGTAGCCCACATATATTAAGTACTTGGCATGTGCCAAGCTTGGTGCTCAGAGTTTATATTCAGCGTCTCATCAAATCATCACAGCAAATCCATGCGTGAAGACCCTGTGGCTCAGAGAGAGAAAGCCACTTGCCCAAGATCACACAGCAAGGAAATGATCAAGTCGACTGTGCTCAGGCAGCCAGACTCTAGAGCCAGACTCCACGCTTGACCACTGTGGCTCCCCCTCCAGTTCTCCCTCCCTTCCTCTTACCACCACTCCCCCACAACACACACACACACACACACACACACACACACACACACACTGAGGGAAAAATGATGAAACAGGAGTTCGGCTGGATTGACAAGCTCAAACAAGGAAGTGTCAACAGCTCAGAGATGAGAATAGGGTGAGGGAGCCTCAGGTCTCCTTTCAATTCAGACTGCCTAATCCGAAATGCTTCGTTGGGGATTTGCAACCCTAAACGCCCATGTTCATTCACACAGAGGATTCCCCTTGACAGCCTCAAGTCTGGGGGAGGGGGGGTTCCTGCTCATGATTCAAAGAGCAAACAGAGGGCTGGGCCCCATCCTCCAGCAAGGGTGCCCTGTCTCTTGGTGAAGGCAGCTTTTGTCTGCCTTCCTCCTGACCCCTCCGGGGTGGCTCAGGGGCCTCCTTCCTCCAGCGGCCTCCTTGGGTTTCTCAGATTCTGTTTTCTTTTTGTTTTAAGGTTCATAGAGCCACGGACTCATCATGTTTTCTGCCGGCAGCTTGTTGCACAATGCACCTCTATTATGATCATGGGGTCTGGGGGGATTTATGCAGAAATTCAGCCCCAAGTGGCCAAAAGCTTGCTCCAGGTCCTGCCTATCTGTGCCTTGTAATTTTCACGCCCTTTCATTACAGAGTTCTGACTGCGCCACACACTGGGCTGCAAGCTACATTTGTTTCCCCCATTTAACCCTCTCACAGCTCCGGGAGGTGGGCGTCATCAGCCACGTGTTCTAGAGGAGGAAACCAGGGCGGCCAGAGGGAAAGCATCTTGCCCAGAGTCATCAGCCAAGTCTGACTTCTCAGGAGTGGGAAGGCTCCAGAGAACACGAACAAGAATTTTCTGAAGATTCTGGGACACAAACTTGCCCTCAAAGTTAAGAGCACTGAAGCTGGACGGCCCAGGACGACAGTCTGACTTCACGTCTTCCCAGCTAGGCTGGCCCTAGCCAGGTCACTGTGTTCTCTGAGCCTCAGTGCCCCCACAGGGTTGTTCTGGATGGTATAGAGATGATGTAGTGCTCTAGGCTCTCATAAAAAACAGTTATTATCATTAACTGCAAAGGTAGGTGGGAAATTAATCTCCACGGTAAGTGGAACTTAAAGCAAACTCTGCTGAACCAAATATAGTTTTCTCATCAAAGTGGGGGCCCCCAGCTCCCTGTGAACCCTTTATGCCACTGCCCCTCAACAAAACCACTGGGGTTTCCAAGGCCACCTGAAGATCTCCCTTGAACCCAGCCTCCAACCTGATCTTGCTCCTGAGCCACAGAACCAGCACCCCCCTGATCTGTGGGAAGCAAAGGGCACCACCTACAGTTTCTGAGAAACACTTTGGGAAGGCACTGACATCACCAACACGGAAAACACTGTCTTGAGATGTTAGCGGCATGACCTTCCACGTTTCTGATGCCCTACACCCCTTGCCCTCCCCAGGGCAGTGGGACATGCAGCTCCTGTGGCTTCAAGGAAGGGCAACTCCAACAGAAGCAAAGAGAAGGCTTGTGAGTTTCCAAAGCCTGGGACTTTGATGAAAAGGTAGAGACAGAGAACAAAGCAGTGGTTGCCAACCGGTGGGGGGAGGGTGTGACACTAAAAGGGCAGCTGGAGGGTGCTTGGGGAACGATGGAGCTCTTCTTTGTCCTGATTGTT